TTATAGTCAAAGGAGTAGATGCCAGAAATGTTAAAAGGATGATAATAAACTTAGGTGAATGAAGGAATATGGGGATGAGGAAAAAGGAAGTCAAAAATGCCTTTGGGATTTCTAAGTGGAGATGAAGGCGATGATGTTCATAGATTCAAATGCTGTGGGAAAGTCAGTATGGACTGAGTTCTGAAATGACTTTTGACAGTCAGAGGTCACTGGTGCAGAAGTTGCAGTTTTAATGAGTTGCTGAGAATGGAGGCTAGATGCCAGGGGGGCCAGACAGTGGCTCTGACACCTAGTGACCCCTTATAGTTGGGTGACCGCTGTGAAAACAGTATTTCACTATTTTAGAGGCTGTATTACATACTGAAAATTTTCCATGGTGTGAGCTCCTCAGAGCCATCTTGAACTTTGCTGTCCATTTGTTCTGTGGATTGCAAGAGGGGCTGAGGGGAGTGGAAGAATAGACAGAGGGTACTTCTTACTTCTTATACTTCTTTCGACTCTTCCCATTTCTGACATAAGAAGAAAATGCTCAGATATTCAGGTAAATAATTTTTTAAAAATAATTAATGCTGTAAGTACATATCATTAAAAATATCAAATCATGAGGCTATAAAATGAGAAATGAAAGTCCACACTTCCCACCTTTTCCATTTCCCAGAAGTTACCCTAAGGTAATTAATTATTTTTTCTCTATCCTTTCCAAGGTTTTTAATGTATTACAGATATTTTGGAGTGTTTATTTGCAGTGTATTTTGGAGAGAGTACCATAAGAACACATGTAGATTTACTGCTTAAAAAGGCGTAGATTTTTCAACTTCAAAATTTTACTTTTTAAAATGAAAGTAATGTGTGTATATGGCTAGAAATTTAGATAGTATAGAAAAATATAAAAACTAAGTGCTTTCCCTTCTGTGTTCACTCTCATTCCTAGTCCTCTAATGTAGTCATTATTTTCTTTTGTGTTTTCCAAGAATACTTTTAGAACTTATATGTCTCTATACATTCTTGAAAATATTTGTATGTTGTCATATTTATTTATTCATAAATATTTGTTGACAAAATTAAAATAAATGTTAAAATAAAATTTTAAAACTTCACTTAACAGATGGGCAGTTAAGCTAAAAGGCAGTAGCTAGCCCCAATTCAGTACCAGCAGATTGTCGTCATTATGTAAGAACATGGGTTCCATGAAATCAGACTTTCCTGTTTTTTAAAAGATGCTAAAAATACACAATTTTTATGTGAAACCTTCCAATTTTAAGTTTTTCAAATAAAAAAATGTTTATTTAGAGCACTACCTGCCAGGTGCTAGGATACAGCAGTGAATCAAACTTAGGTTCTAGTGGCAAGAGGAAGACAATAAGCAAATGAATAGTATATGCCAGGTGGTGGTAAGTGCTATGAAGACAAATAAGGCAGGGCAAGGAAGAGAGAGCAAGTGTTATTTTACATGGATGATCATGGAAGACCTCTTTGGAAAGGTGACATCTGAGCAAAGATTTGAAGGAAGTGAGGGAAAAGCCATGTAGATGACTAGGGGACTCATGCTAGGCAGAGGGAATAGCAAGTAAGAAGATCCTGAGATGGGAAAGAATTGGGCATGTTCAAGGAGCAGCAAATACACTAATGTGGCTGAAGCAAGCAAGGGTCTGGAAAGAAGCAGATGGGTCTGGAAAGTTGGGGAGATTGTGTGCAGATCATGTAAGGCCTTTTAGGCTGTAATGGTGACCTTAGAAATGACCCCAAATGAAATGGAAGGCCATTGGAAGGTTTTCAGGGGATTGAAATGATCACACTTGGTTTTGAAAAGTCTCACTCTAGCTTCTGCCTGGAGAATAGAACCAGGGTTCCAATTAGGAAGCTGTCGTTAAAAGTCCAGGTGATAGATGATGGCCGTTGGCCTGGGGTAGAGTTGTGAAGGTAGAGAGAATAATTCAGTTTCTGGATGTATTTTGAAAAAAGAGCTAACAAGGTTTGCAGATTTATTTTTTAATTTTAATTTTATTGTTTTTAATGTGCAGTGTGAAAAGAAATGAGGAGGCTCTGAGGACTGGGGCCTGAGTAAATGGTCCAATGGAGTTTCCATTTACTGAGATGGGGATGACTGTAGGAGAAACAAGTCATTCACCCTTACTTTGGTTAAAATCCTTTTTACCACCTTGTAAAAACTTAAAACGTTATGGGTAAAACATTATTGATAACATTATGATTGGGACTAATGGTCCTTTACCCATTTTCCCAATGCTGGTTCTCTGTTAATTCTCTTAGCCCCAAAGTAATTATTATCATTTTGATGTGTATGCACATACATGTTTGCATGTCTGTTTCCTTCTAGAACCTTTTTTTTCCTGTTTTTTAAAATATACATTATAGCCACAGGAAATATAACTGGTATTTTTATATAAATATATATATATAAATATTTCATACCAAAAATATTGTTCTACAGCACACTTTTTTCAATTCCCAGTATGATCTATTAGATTACCTCATTTTTTTTAATCTACTCCATAGTATTTCATGGGTTGAATATACGATCATTTTGCTATTATAAATATTTAGATTTTCTAACAAGTAATGCTTCAGTAAATATCCTTATACACATGTACAAGTGTTTCTGTAGGTTAGGTATCTAAAAATGAAATTGTAGTGTTGAAGGGTATGTGAATTTAAAATTTTAGTAGGTGCTACCAAAAACCCTGTAAGTTGTAGAAACATGTCAGCTGTCTATGAAATTGTTTCTGCATACCCACTGTAACAGGAACATACAGGTAAGAAGTAAAAAAACAAAAACAACAACTTGAAAAAATACTAATTTATTATTATGATTTGGAAAATTAGTTTTGTATTTTTTTATGTGGGAGTGAGGAAGTCTTTACTTTTTTATACTTTGTTTTGGTGGTGTTTGACATGCCTCTTCTGCAAATCAGGTATTTTGAGAATTATTAGAATAATAACTGTATATTTACAAAATATACAGAAGCTTATATGCTGACTTTGAGTTACAATTTTGTTTCTAAATCGTTTAGTGGAAAGAGCTGTTAATGGAACATTGTTGTCTCAAGCAACTTGTAAGCTCTGTGATGAAAATGAAAACTCTTTTACGGTAGCAAATGCTTTAGGAAACAGGTAAGCCATGTGCTGGGTGGTGACTTTTTAAATATCATCTTACATTTATATGGAATCTGTACCTTTTTAAAATACTTGCTATGATACCACTTTTCGTCACAGTAACCCAAAGGATAGAAGTAGACATTAACATAAAGAAGCTGAAGCCCAGAGAATGAGACTGATTAGAGGTCAAAGTTTGTCTCAGTCTCTTATCAGTTGTTTGACCTTGGCAAGCTTAGTAAGTCAGTCTTCTTGTCTTTAGAATGGAGATATACCACCCACTTCATAGGCTTTTTTCACAGCTCAGAAATGGATATGCGAATTCTTAGCATAGTGCTTTAGAGTAAATGCTCAGTAAAAGGTAGCTGTTTTTGTTTGTTATTATGTAATTTGTACATAATCTATAATATATATAGCATATAAATATTAACTTCTATTCACAGCATACTTACTATGTGCCAGGAACTCTGCTTTATAATAAAGTTATATAAAAAACATATTAATAAGTAAATGATAATTATAGTAACCCAAGAACCCTGATGTATAGCCCTATTCTCTGTCACTTCCTGTTTTCCCTTCATGTGTGCATATGCACACCACATACGTGCACACGCACACACACACACACACCCCTGCCTCTCTCTAATTCAAACAAGTATCCCTATTTCAACTTCTTCACATTTTTTTTTATTTTTTATTTTTTATTTATTTATTTTTTTTAATTTATTCATGAGAGACAGAGAGAGAGACAGAGGCAGAGGGAGAAGCAGGCTTCCCGCTGAGCAGGGAGCCCGATGTGGGACTCGATCCCAGGACCCTGGGATCATGACCTGAGCCGAAGGCAGACGCTTAACCGACTGAGCCACCCAGGCGTCCCTTCACATTTTTTTTTTGAGGGCTACATGATGACTTCCCTCTAAGCAGAGTTGTCTCTTCAGTTCCCAAGTTTAAAATAGAAAATACTTGAGTAGCTTCTCCTGGGGATACTTAGTATTGGATCACTACTTCTCTTAGGCTGATGTGGGTTGTAGTGTCCAAATATTGACTACTGGGCTGATCCCCAAGCCTTCTCTTCCAGTACTGCCTCGAGCCTAGTTCTGTGCCATGCCCCATCCCCTCCTACCTGCTCTATCTTACAAGTAATGAATACAACAAACCCTTCAGTGTTCCCACTACTCTGGTGGATGCTCTTCCTTTCTGTATATCATACATTAATGAAAAATGTGTTTTCCTAAAATAAATAAGGATAATGAATAGACTTTAAAAGTGTTTGTTGTAGGTTTGATGAAGGGATAGATACACATATCTTTTTCAGCATATGTTTCCTTTTTGCTTTGTGACAGACAAAATAAGGAAAGTAGATTTAATATAACTACATATGAAAACAGATTGGGTTTCATTTATATGAGTTTTTTGGGCTCTTAATTGAGTGACTTAACAATCTCTGCTATTCAGTATTATTTATGCTACACCCTCCATGTAGTTTCAAAAGAATGCTCTCCTATTATTGGTTAATTTTATTTATTTATTTATACCTTGCTTTGTAATAGGAGTGGTATAAAACTAATCAAATCAGTGTTAATATTTTTAATTTGTTTACCTTACTACAAGTAATTACTTAGCTGAATGAATCTATTCTAATTCAGCATTTAGGAAGACAAATGTTTGATGAAATTAGGTCTAGCATAATTCATTGACATTTAAAAATTTTTTTGTGATGTTGACAGATGTAACCGATGTGAACCAACATTCATCAATACCAGCAGGTCCTGTACATGTTCAGCACCAAACATTTTAGTAAGGCTAATCGAATTAATAAAGTATATATTTTAAAATTAAGTTGCTTATACCTTTCCATAAACTGTTTATTTTTTATTTTTTTTATTTATGAAGACAGGGGGATTATGTTTCAGCAGCACAGGGAATTTTCCTTCACGTGTAATTTCATCTGCCCGTTATGGAGATCTTGTGAGTATGTTTCAGTTTTTTTGTTCCATTCTTGTTGCATTACTTCCTTTGCTCATTAGTCTGGGACTAAAATGAGAAACAGTTCTGTGTAAGTCATTTTAAAACAGAAATTATCAATCTGAGAAACCTTAACTCAGCATTATTATTTGTAAGTAGAGTTACTCTCTTCTCTACCTTGGCTCATCCTTTTTCAATGATCTCCGAATGTTTAAGCTGAAAAGTTCTTTTATAGATCCTGTAAAGAAGCAGCATTATGTGTTAAGAGTCCCAGAGACTCTTGACTTGAACCCTGGATTTGCCCGTCATTAATTATATATCCTTGGACTTATTTACTATTTCTAAACTTCAGTTTTATTGTCTGTACATTGGGCATAGTAATAATACTTACCTCATAGTGCCTGTACATGGTAATCACTGGAGAAACAAGGGTTATTTGTATCTGGCCAGGTTCCTTATTTTGTAGTTGAGAGCATGGAGGCCTAGGGTTAGAGCCTTTGTAACAGATGCTGGTCTGACAATGTCTGCTATGTAAAATGGGAAGAAAGTGGATGAATTGGAACTGAAGAGATCATGAGTCCAAGGGAATAGGAGTTAGATGACTAACTAGAAGTTGGTTAATGAGCATTGAAAATACCCAGTATGCCAGCAGAGCTTGGGGTGGACAGGCTAGGATCTGGTTGCTCATTATCATCCTTAGATCAGTGGGAGTGATTAGGAGGAATTGGAGGACAACCATTATTCTTGACGAATAAAGCAAAAATTCCTCTTCTCCAGTATTGTCTTACTGGTGTGATAGGCAAGTACCAAATATTTGCAAAACAACAAAATAAATACTAAGATGGGGTATAGATACGGAGCTCTGAGATCACCCCAAAATTAGCTCCTTAGCAATAAGATGGATGTCTTCTGGAGTGTTCTTCCCCAGTCTCAGGTTATAATGACCTCCTGTATATCACTGTCAAACTTGCAGGCCTTTATTTTTATTTTTTCTTCTTTTTTCCTTTTTAAAATAATTCTGCCAAAAGTACCAATAAATTTTTTTTTTTCCTCTTTGGTGTCAGATCAGTCATATAGAGCTCCCGTCTCTTTCAATCTCTGATCTGGAACAGGTCCTTAGTCTTTTCCTGCCTTTCATGAACTCAACAGCTTTGAAGGTTACAGGCCTTACAGTCTATAGGATGACCCTTGACTGGGTCCATCCAGTTTTTCCTCATAATCAGGAAACCACAAAAAAGATGTCTTGCTTTTCTCAGTGTGTTGTACCATAACAGAAAGCATGCAACATTCATATGTCCTATCACTGGTGATGTTAACTTTGATCACCTGCTATGAAGTCACCATGTATACTATAAGGGTGCCATTTTTCCCTTTGTAATTGATTAGTATTTTGTGAGGAGAATTTTAGATTATGCTTCATCTTCACCAAACATTAACAATAAGTAACAATAAGCTTTAGTCTCCATTGGTGATGCTTGCCTTTATCAACCACTACTGTGAGGTTGCCAAATGTTTACATTGTTCTTTCTCCATTTATTAATTAACCTTCTACTGTAAGGAAGAATTTCCCAATCTTCCCATTTATGTATTTATTTGTTTATTAATGTCAGTATAGATTAGTAGGTTCCTATTTTATTCAGTTGGTTATAATCCAATACATGCATTATTTGTTTTGCTTTTCAAATTGTCTTAGATTTAGCCATTGAAGCCCCTTCAAGTTGGCTCCTGTACCTTTTTGATATGTCTCCATCATTTGTTGAGGATTTCTTTCCTTTCTGGCACAAGGAGATTTCCAGGTTCATCTTGTACTTTTCCTACCTCATTCCTGGAATCAGCCATTTCTCTAAGAATTTGTGGAGGATAATATTTAGAAACCAAGATTACCACACTTAGTATACCCTTTTAGGAGACATAGCTAAAATATATATACACACACACACTTAAATACATATACATATCTATAACTATTTCATTATTTTGTATATATATATATATCGAAGTAAATGAGTTCAGACTGATGCTTTCGATTCTAAAGCAGTTCCTCAGTGTTCCTTCTAACCTTTCCTTTTGAAGATTTTCAGTACCTTCTCCTGTAGTGAGATATCTGGGTCTCATCCTCACTTAACTCGTTAGCTCTGTGTAACAGTCTTTGAACCATGCTGCTCTCTTCCATACCACCTCCACATCCTCCCTTCTTCACACCACTGTGCAGTAGATCCGAATGTTTGCAGACTTCTCTGCAGACATCTGTTAAGAAAAGGTGGGCAGAGAAAGGCAATTCTGTTCTTAATCTGATTCAATTAATGCATTTCATTTAAACATATCGGTCTTGGACACTGATGCTTTCCTAAGGACAAGTTTAGAAACCTTGATTTTAAGTCATTTTATAACGAGTGTTGAGACAGGTTCTGTGTAGTCGTATGAGACATGAAAACAAATGTAGTTAAGATTGTGTGACTATCTTGGCCCAGTCCTCTGTCTGGCAGGTATAAGAACTCAGTTTTAGCAATGTACCTGGAGGTCAGTCAGGGCCTAAGGGACCAGTTCAAAATAATTAAACCCGCAAGAGACTAGATGGATTGATAAACCAGAATGCATGTTTATTAGTTTATGTTGATACTGTAATTGGCAGCTAAACTAAACTACTTGTATTAACTTGAAAATTTACACTTTTCCTAATTGGAAAACATGACATATCAAATGTTTTCTTGAACAATACAGAATTGGAACATAATTAGTTTTGTATAATTTTATGACAGGCATTTATACTTGCCAATCAGTAAAGAATTTCTGTATACGTGAGTCAGTGTCTTCCCATTAACTTTCCCCAAAGATAGTAATAGTGATCTAGCATCTTGGTTTTATGTTTTTCTCAACTTTGATTTTGAAAATTTCAAAATTAGGGGCACCTGGGTGGCTCAGTCGGTTAAGCGTCTGCCTT